GGGGTATGTGCACAGGGCATGCCGCAGGGTGAGGAGGGATTTAATTACCCTCCAGCCTGAGGGCTGGTGACCCTCACAGATCGAACTGATCCCTCCCTGAGTGTTGGGGGACTTTGAGGCACCCATGTGCCTTCCTTGTGGCTGAATCCCCCCCGGCTTGGGGGGCCTGTCCCACTCCCCTGTGGTGTGAGCTGTGCCAGCGGGGTGGCACGCCTGCGGGCTCCGCTCCACTCAGGGCTGGGATGCTAAACTTGGAAGCATCCAGGGCTGGGATCCAAAACTTGGCAGTGTCGTGGTGGTGGCTGTGCAGAGCCAGGCTGGCATTTCTGCCGGCAGCCGGCAGGCCGCAGCACAGCCCCGTGCAGAGCTGGAGCCGAACCCTGCCGTGCGTACCCCGCCTTGGCTGCTGGAGCCCGCCGGCTGCCGCCCCATCTCCTGCAGGTTTTCCTAGGGAGCAGCCCATGGCCAGCCATGCACAACCAGCCTGTCATGGCTGGGCGAGCAAAACAGCCCTTGCAGGTGCCACGGGCACAGCGGTGTGGCTGCAGTTTCCGTCCAACGTGGGCTCCAGGTGGGGAAGAAGCCAGCTTGTGGAGCTGTGAGAGGGAAGGGCTGGACACTGGCATTTGGAAAATGTGAATAGCCGGGGCTGTGGGGTGACATGGCAGCGTGGGCTCGGCACAGGATCGGCACAGGCTGACTGTGGAGCTGGAGGTTGGCGGGTGGGAGTGGCGCTTTGGACATGCTGTGCCATGGGGTACGTGGCACCCTCGGTCATGGCACTGGCCCGGCTGTGGCCTGGCTTTGTTCATCATGGATTGGCACAGCCTTGTTAAACCTGCCCCTGCTTAATTTGGGCTGGGGGGCTGGCCCCGGGGGTCTCTGGGCTGGGGAATATCCCTGGTGCCTGCATGTTGATTCCCCCCCCCTCCATGCTCCCTGCCCCCAGCATCTCCCTGAATGGCATGAAAGTGTCGAGGCCCGACATCCGCATCGGGAGGTACCGCATGATCAAGCACGAACGCGACAAACACAATGAGCCCAACCCGCAGAGGTGAGTGAGCTGCAGGGTCCAGGGCAGCTGGGACAC